AATTTCCACACTCTGTTGGGTCACCTTTTTTTGGAATGGGAATAAAAATGCGTCTCTTCCAGTCAGTTGGCCAGGCAATTTTCCTCCAAATTTCTTGGCGAAACCTAATAAGAACGTACATGTAGAGCAGCATCTATCTGTTTGTTGAAGTATGTCAATTGTTATTCCATCAATTCCTGGGCTTTATTTTTTGCCAAGTCCTCAGAGCAGTCTGAAATTCCTCCTTCATCACCATTGCCTCTTGATCTTCCGTTGTTTTTTAACATTCTTCTGTGTCACCCAATTCCTTTTTGGTACAGTTACTCTGTACACCCCATCCATCTTCTTTTAATGCTTCCTGGATCATTCAATATCCTGCCCATGTTGTTGTTGTTGTGTATCATCTAGTCGGAACTGATCCATAGTCGACCCTCTGGTGGGTTTTCAGAGGCAGTTAAACGCACGGGAGGAGATTGGCCATCTTCTTGCCAGTAGGCCACCAGAGCTCCTGTCCTGCCCATAGCATCCTTATGTATTAGAATTTGTGGCTTGAATTTGTTCTTTAGATCCTTTGGCTGAAGAAATGCCAAGCGAGTTCATCCTTTTGGTTTTCAGACTCCAGCTCTTTGCACCTTTCATTATAATATTTTGTTCTGTTTTCCTGTGCTGCCCTTTGAAATCTTCTATTCATCTCCTTAACTTCTTGATTTCTTCCCTTTTTTTGGCTTCTCGGCACTCTGTTATAATATTCAGTGTCTCTTCTGACATCCATTTTAGCCTTTTCCTCTTCTGTTTTGTAATGACCCCCTGCATTCTTCCTGGATAATATTATTGATATTCTCCCACAGCTCATCTGGTCTTCGTTCATTAGTGTTCAAGGCCTCAAACTTGTTCCTAAGTTGGATTTTAAATTCAAGTGGGATAGAATCAGGATCAAATTTTTATTCCTGTAGATTTGATTAGACCTTCTTTAGCTTTAATATGAACTTGTATATGAATATTTGATGGTCTGTTTCACAATCAGCACCTGGCCTAATTTTCACTGCTGATAGTGAACTTCTTCAACAATTCCTGCCGCAGATGTTATCACCCTGATTCCTGCAAATACCATCAGGTGAAATCCATGTTTATAAGCTGTGTTTATGTTTCTTATAAAAGGTATTTCCTATGAACAGATAATTGATTGTGCAGAATCTTATCTTTCTATCCCCAGTATTATTTCTGTCACCAAGTCCATGTTTTCCTACTTCTTATCCTTCTTCCTGGTTCCCAACTTTTGCATTCCAGTCACCCATTATTATTTATATTATTATTATTAATGCATGTTTGTTTCATGTTCAATCAATTTTTCATTGCAAATGTTGGTAGAAATAATTTATTTTCTCCTCTTTGGTCCTGGTTGTTGGTGTATAAATTTGAATGATAATGGTATGAACAGGTTTTCCTTGTATGCATATGGACATTATCCTGTTACTAACAATATTCCATTTCAAGATTGATCAAGAAATGGCCTTTTTAATTATGAAAGTGACCCTTTGTTTTCTCACCTTTTCTTCACTGTTGTAGTAGATCATATGATCATCTGATTCAAAATGTCCCGTGCCAATCCATCTCATTTTGCCAGTATCTAATATGTAAATATTTATGCATTCCAATTCTTCCTTAATGATGTATAGTTTTCCTACATTCATGCTTCTCACATTCCACATTCCAGTCATTAGTTTCTGTTTACATCTGTTCCTCCTCCTTTGTGCTTCCAAATTTGAGGGCTCAGCCTCAGTTGCCATATCTGTTTTTCTGTTCTGTGTGTGCTCTGCTGCCTATAGAGTTTTAGAGGGCCTGTTATATTTTGGAAGTGATGGCAAATCCTTCTTTCTAGTCTGTGTTACATATTTAATTCTTTTTACAGGGCTTCATTTTACAAAATGTTTTGTGATTTTAACAAAAGAAATTTAAAACCATGTCCAACAAGACATTTTTAAATAGACTTTAAAAAACAAAAAGGAGTTGTACTTGGAAAAAAAATATCTGCTTTGACTGTCACCGCAGCTGGCTTGGGAAGACAGTTCCATATGGTCTTCCCATGAGTGAGCTAAGAAGATAGTTCAGCAACAGCAGGGATACCGTGACCTGAGACAAAATGTTCCCATTATGACAATACAGTGGGACAACCCAAAATACAAGGAGCAAAGAGGCATCCAAGTGCCTGCAAATCTTCTGCCAAAATGGCAGTATAGCCACCAGGCCTTTCGCCAAGGGAAGCAGCAGACAAATGAAAGTGGTATTTCAGACCCAGACCTGAATACTGGCTGTCTTAGCCTCCAAAGAAGCTTATATAGAAAGAGATTTATTTCCAGGAAATGCCTCTTATGCTTATAGAGGCAAGTATTGGGTTTGTGGGTCCCACCTCGAGAGAGGAATCTGGAGAGGCAGAGTCCAGGCTGCTGGCGCTGGAAGCTTCTAGCTTTGGGAGTAACACCTAAGGTCAGCGTGGGAAGCAGGCCCACAGATGGCAGACTTTGGATGCTCAGAGTCCTACATCCGCAGGAGCAGCAGGCTGCTGGCTTAAGTCTGGATACAAGGCAGATGTAAATCTGAACAGAGCTCTCTTGATACCATTCAGGCCACACCTCTGAGGAGATCTATTTTTAATAGATAAGACTAATCATATCTTTATAGATCTACCTTCCCTCCTGTCTCATTAACATCATGTTTTTGGTGGTGGTGTTGTGTGCCCTCAGAACCAACTCATAGCTGACCCTCCAGCGGGCTCAGCAGTAGTAAAATTGCACAGGAAGAAATTTCCCATCCTTTTTTTTTCAAGCAGCTGGTAAATCGAACCACATACTTTTGGGATTGCAGCACAGCTTTTTACCACTATGCCATCAGAGCTCCCTCATTAACATAATAGAGGTTAGAATTTACATCAGATAGTACATTCACATGTTGTTGTTGTTGTTGTTGTTGTTGTTGTTCTTATGTGCCACTGAGTTCTTTGCAACTCATAGCAACCCTGCATACAACATCCCTAAACCATTCTCTATCCTGTTCCAACCTTATTGTCTCCAATACACCTACCCCCATTACCCCAGTGACTGAATCAATCCATCTCATTGGGGGTCTTCCTCTCCTGCACTGTCCCTCCACAATCCCAAGCATGATGTCCCTCTCCAAGGACTGGTCCCTCCTTGCAACATGTCCAAAGTATGTCAGATGAAGGTTCAAAATCCTTGCCTCCAAGGAGCAGCCTAGAATCACCCTCTATAGGATGAACCTGTTTGTTCTCCTTGCAGTCCATGGTATCTTCAATAATCTTCTCCAGCACTAGCGTTCAAAGGCATCAATTCTCCTTCTATCATCTCTAGTCATTGTCCAGGTTTCTGATGCATAGGAAGTAATTGCAAAGACCATGGCCTGGATCAGGCGCACCTTAGTCTCTAGACTGACCTCATTGCTTGTCAGTACTTTGGAGTACTGAATATAATCACATTATACAAAAGGCCATTTTGACACAGTATTAACACAGTAACACGATATTAATCATCACAGTGAATAATTTGTTTTATTGTTGTTAAGTGCCCTTGAGTCATGTAGCATGACTCTGTGAACAGTGGATCTGAGCACTACCCTATCTGATGCCATCCTCATCATCTCTGTTATAGTTTAGCCCATTGTTGCAGCCACATGTCAATTTTTCTCGTTAAGGATCTTCCTCTCTTTAGCTAGCCCTCTACATTTCCTAGGACTGGCTCTTCTAACAACATACCCAAAGTATATGAGACAAAATTTCACCATCCTTACCTCTAAGGGACCACCTTGATTATTCTTTTTCAAAAACATATTTGTTCGCTCTTTTGGCAATCCTTGATGTATCTAGTATTCTTCTCCAACTGATGCTTCAATTGTGCTCTAAAGCATCAATTCCTCTTCTATTATCCTTATTTCTTTTCAGTTATCTGAAAGGTCAACTTTCTGATGCATAGAAAGTAATTGAAAAGACCATGGTTTGGATCATATATACCTTAGTCTTCAAATGGGAATCATTACTCTGAGCACTTTCAAGAGGTCCTTGACACCAGATTTTCCAATGCAGCAAGGGTTTTGATTTCTTGACTGCTAGTACCCAGGGTTTTGGTTGTAGATCTAAGTAAGATGAAATAGTTGACATTTTCTTTCTTTTCTCCATCTACCAGGATGTTGCCTGTGACCTTGTGATGAGGATTTTTGTTTTCTTGATGTTGAGATGTACTTCATAATAAAGGCTATAGTTTTTAATTTTGTGCAGCAAGTTCTTCAAGTCCTCCTCACTTTCTGTAAGCAAGATTGTATCATCTGTATAATGCAGGTTGTTGTTGAGTCTTAAAACAATCCTGATGTCACATTTTTCATGAAGTCCAACTTCTTGAATTATTTGTTCAGTAATGCTTACCCCCACAATAAGGGATTTATCTTTAACTGCTCCACAAATTGCTGTCTGTCAGATACTC